TCCCGACTTTTAATCTGTCTTTAAAACACAATCACAGCGCTCAGTCTGACCACGATCCCCAGGCACGTTTCTGATTTACTCGTTAAATACCCGAAAAAAATAATTCATGTTAAATTTGCATTTCAGTTTTTGAGAATTCTAAAATTTTCAGAGCGTGCAGGAGTCCATCACAACCAATTGTTTCTTTTCATAAAAATTACCGAAAATGTTTTGCCGACAGATGGTTCAGTGAAGGACCAGATTAAATTTGCAGCTGCTCTGTGCAAAATTACTAAAAAAATCTTTCATTCCCAGGACAAATATAGTACAATATTCTCTGGTGGTATTCATTGTCTACAAAACCTGTTTTCTATGTCCGACAAAACATTTTATACGTGATTTTCTATTAATGTTTCTTACCCCCTAGTGTGCCTATGGTGTACGACTCGACACTCCGTAGATTCTAAAGACTCACTGTCTGCTTCACATCACTGCTTACGCTGTTATACAACTTAACTGTCTTTCTTACCTTTACCATAACTTTAAGCTATTTTTTTTTTGGGGGGGGGGTTATTTCAATATATTCACCTTAAATACCAGTTCCGATGCATTTCATCACTTCCTCCAAATTTATTGTTTTTCTTTAATTTATTGGCTAATTTATGATTTACATTTGTCAAATTTTCATACATGATAATTCAGGGGTTTATTTCAAACAGTGCTTCTCAAACAAGACTCCCCCCGCCTCCCCACCACACCCGTCACTCACTTGTTTTTCAATTTGCTGCAGTTTTTTCACTCTCTTGCTGGGATGAACAAAACTAATTATGACTTGATTTACGTCCTCTGCTATTTCATAACAGATTTCTATACTAGTGTCTGTTGCGACCCACCTCCTGCATGGTATAGTCTGAGCTCTGGGAAATTTATCTTTGGTGCATTGTTACCGTTACATACTGGTGCGTCGGGACGGTTGGGAAATGAAATCCAAGTCGACTTCTTCCCTCCATGACTTTTATTCTTTGAACACTGAAATATTGCCTCAGCCTGGGTTATATTACTAGATATCGGAGGATTTAGTTTGCCTTGTCATAGAGTATTAAAAAGACACAGTTTTCTGAGCGTTGTGTGACCTGCTGACCTTCAGATACGGTTACCTGTAGCTGCCGTGTGTGAACTCACCCTAATTAACAGCTCTACATAAAAGTTATTCTTTCGGGTACAAGATGGTTGTAACGTGGCAGAGGGAGGGGTGGGAAGTGGAGGGGAGGGGGGAGGGGGGGATGGGAGAGGGGGAGGGAGAAAGGGTTGGGGTGGGGTTGGAGTGGGGGGGATTGGAGTGGGGGGAGGTGTGAGGGGTTGGAGAGGGGAGTGGAGGGGGGTGGGGAAAGGAGGTTACTCTGGTTTTCATTCCTCAAATATTTTTCTCTTGCATTCTACATTCCTCTGACTTTAGCCTAAATTGTTAGTTTTAGTGAAGAGTAAATTGCTTTCGGGCCGCCTGTCTTTTGCACCACGATGCTGTAACTTCTCTTTATGGGTTTGCTTCTTTTGGAACACGAGAGCCTGGCCGTGTTATATCCTGTACACGAATTAAAACATTTCCCCAAACATTTTCCCTCAGACAGCAGTTGGAGTAACCTGCCGAACTAACGCAAGATATTGTAAATTACTTCTGCGATAAAGCCTGGGTCAAGTGAGTCAAGTTCACACTGACCTTTAACAACACAGAAGAGCCATCTACTGTGACCTGACCCAGTGACTAGACGACTAGGAAAATGAATAAGCGAATAACCTTCTCCCTCGATCAAGATTCTAACGGAGGAATTTTAATCGAAATTTAACGGAGGAATTTTAATCGAAATTTACAAAGTATAAACGAAATGTTTTGATTAGGTTAACATTACGGACGGACGGACAAGTGTGGCGATTATATTCCTCCGGTCTTTATCAATGGGGGAGTGGGGGTGGGAGTGGAAGGTGGGAGTGGGGGTGGGAGTGGAAGGTGGGAGTGGAGGGTGGGGGTGGGAGTAGGGGGTGAGAGGTGGGGTTGCGGGGTTGATTGATTGAAACAGTTTATTTAGGCAGAAAAACACAGATACGGAGTGGATAATAATAACAATATTAACATGGCTGAGCCAGTTGAGAGCCAGAGCTCTATTGAAAGCACCTGATATATACTATACATTTATCTAAAGGAAGTATTATGTAACATATTCTTCTGACTACACAGTTATATACCAACAGTATTATATTTTGTTTATTTCTCTATAATTCCCAATAAACAAACCGATGCTTCAACATATCAGTAACATGACTAATGGCGGCGATGGTAAGACTAAAACAATATTTACTTGATGACAATGTAAACAAACAAATCCATTATAGGTTGAGATTAACGTAACTAGAGGGCACTGTGAGCATACAGAAAACTCTCAGGAAAAGAAATACTGAGGAAAAATATTAACCTGTTTGCGTGTGTTCATTATCTCACGTTTGTCTCGACCAAAAACACATTTCTATTTCTAAATTCCAAAGTTATTCAACCCGTGAGCCAGGAGGTGTGTGCAGTAAACAGCTTAACAAGGTCAACGCTGATTAACACGAACATCGAGTTTGGTTGTTGTTCTATCACTATCGTTTCTTAACCCATTAAATTATGCATAACCTGACTTAACCTAACCTAACCTGACCTGACCTGACCTGACCTGACCTGACCTGACCTGACCTGACCTAACCTAACCTAACCTGACCTGACCTGACCAGTTAAACCTTTCTACAACTTAAAACTGCTTCATCACAAGAGTGTAACCAACCTTCCTGCCGTCCACTTGTGTGTGCGTCCGCCCGTGCGCGCGCTGGATGTCCACCTCTGCCTTGGAACACCTGTAGATGAGAGTTTGGTTAATGAGCTTGGCTATAGCGTTGACGAGAACTGAAAACATCCACAACGAATTAAAATCTGACATTGTTAATATTTTTAGCACTAGAACTTAGATAAAATTATTAATGTGGTATAATGCGTAATAATTAACTTTAGTTCCCTGTGATTGAACACCTTAACACTGTATTGAATGACCTTAATGTATTGTTATATCATAGTATCAGTATTGTTCCCTCTACAAAATCACTTACAGTAAAAAATCAAATGAGTAGAGTAACTGCTCACACATCAGCCAACCAACAAACAAATATTTCTCGTAGATTAAATATTACCGAGACACACCCATGGTCCAGGTATATAGATTTAAATACTAATGGTTTTGTTGACATAGAACAAAAGGTTTTATGATAGAAGTATTGGAATCGGTATATAGTGAATATTTGATGTGTGTGTGTGTGTGTGTGTGATGTGTGTGTGTGTGTGTGTGTGTGTGTGTGTGTGTGTGTGTGTGATGTGTGTGTGTGATGGTGTGTGTATGTGTGTGTGTGTGTGATGTGTGTGTGTGTGATGTGTGTGTGTGTGTGTGTGTGTGTGTGTGTGTGTGTGTGTGTGTGTGATGTGTGTGTGTGTGTGATGTGTGTGTGTGTGTGTGTGTGTGTGTGTGTGTGTGTGTGTGTGTGTGTGATGTGTGTGTGTGTGTGATGGTGTGTGTGTGTGTGATGTGTGTGTGTGTGTGTGTGTGTGTGTGTGTGTGTGTGTGTGTGTGTGTGTGTGTGTGTGTGTGTATGTGTGTGTGTGTGTGTGTGTGTGTGTGTGATGTGTGTGTGTGTGTGTGATGGTGTGTGTGTGTGTGTGTGTGTGATGGTGTGTGTGTGTGTGTGTCGTTCAATATACACTTCATGTACCAGCTAACCACCATAATATGTCACGTATTGTAAACTTTATATGCTAGTTTTTACAGGAAAATTTCTTATAGAAAATACCGCTCTTGTACCTAAAGTAATAACTAACTGCAAATGGAACTCGTTACATCAGAAAAGACACCTCCATGAACACGGCCAATCCATGCGACTTAATGACGCTTCAGAGAGACAAACAATCGAATGCGAAGTTGTTTATATAAACACCTAACTGATAATTTAACTATATTTCACAACCTAGAATAACTCACTGAGGTGGTCGGCTACGCAGGTACCAACCCCCCCACACACGCCACAGATCCAGCTAACTCAGGAGTAATGATGCTTGTCTGTATATGCTGAGTAATTGAACCAACTTTCAACATCACAAGCTATTCTGATTAACACAAAACTTTGTTGATGAGAGGAAAGTTACACCGTTGAGCCACACAGTATGAAGCTTTAAGAGAATACACGAAAACACTGTGTTGTTGCCACCGCTACCAGGGCAATACTGAGAGTCCTAATGGTACTCTTGTCTGTTTACTAAAAAGCATTCGTGGAGAAACTGGGTGCCAAGTGAGTGGATGTATGGTGCCAGTATTAAAAGTTGCCCTAAAATAAAACATATGGGATTGAATGGGACACTGGACAGGCTTCACCGGCAGAGAGGAATTTCAAGTTAAAGTTTGGAAAATAAAAGAAAATGTGTTTTTATCTCGAATTATGGTTTGCAGGTCAACTATCCCTGACTTCCTAGTATCTACATTATCATTTAAGGCTAGTTACTCGTCGTACTGCCAGGGTACATTCTAACTTAACCTAACCTAAAAAAAGTAAATTCCTATTTCATTTCAATGCCGTATCACACTTTATCCCCTTGTGTACTGCCCCCTCCCCCTCTCAGGGACGAATAAAATCGCCTGGCGTTAACCAAATAAAATATTACAAGCGGCGTTCCTGTACTAGAGGGGTTAAGATCAAACTTGAAAAACTGTACTCGTCTCATTGCTTGTCCTGCCAACACCGCTATTGCAGGTGTCTGAGTGTGTGTGTGTGTGTGTGTAAAGACGGTGACTATCAAATCACAAGGCATCGTTTAATCTTTTTCCTACAGAACTTCACAACCATTACCCGAAACAAGACAGAACACAAACAATTGGCGAATAAATTGGATTTTTCTTAACATTTACCGTGTGATCGTACCGAATTATCATATCATTCATCACCTTCCCCAGATCTGCCGCCGCCACGCCTGCTGGAGACGACACACCCGGAACAACAAGGCACCTACCGAGTCAACTATCCGGGAGCCCGCCTGCGTGTGGGTGCACCTCGACCATCCCACCTCACACCTACCCACGAGTAAGTTACAGTAGCCCTGAAGTGTAAGTTATGCTTTAACTAAGTTGAGTTAAAGTCACTGCTTTCCCTATGGACATTTAACACATAATACAAGTATGTTTAATGTCGTATTTTGTTTCAAAATATCCACAATTTTGAGGAACACTCAAACAGGAGTTTCAAGTGAAAATAAATATTGAAATATGATTTTGTTGTGTTTGGTTACGTTCACTTGGTCTAGTTGGTTCATGCTTGCAGATCATAATTAGGCAAATAAATGAAGATGGATTTGTCGGCAACAGCTTTATATAATGTAAAAAAATGCAAATCCTTTTGGCGTAGGACGGGAAAAACATTTTTGAACTCCGGGAAAATCCAGATTTAAATCGTCATATAATGTGTTGGCTGTGTTGTTTACGATTATGTCTGAGGTCACACACTGAACCATTTATGAATGCAGAGGACACGAACAAACTAAGCCTATAAAGATCCCTCAGTAGCCCTGGCGAGGTTAAGTTAGTGTCATGAATGGTTTAGTACTGGAGCAGCCTAATGAGCTTTTAACTCCTCGACGTTTCAAAATGATTTTTTTTTTGCTCCCGTAACATACTGTACTTGCATTATATGTATTAGAATTCATAAATCAGGTTAAATTATTTGAAGCAAAATACAAAAAAGAACCTGTGACAAGCTTCGCCCAATAATGTAAGTGGTGTACACTCGATATACAGTATGCAACAGTATATTCTTACTGACAACGAAGTAACTTAGGCTGTGTAGGCTGCTTGGAAGCAAGTATGTGTACGTACATGTATAAACTGACACGTACAGTCTCGTTCAAGATTCTTCGAGCACTGATGGAGACAGCTGGCAACTCGAGGCCGTTTGTTTACTATAGTACGTCGCAAAAATTAAGAATAAATGTAAAAGAAATCGGTGATTGGTTACTTAGTTCCCGTTGCTTAATTTAATGGTTGGGCTTTGTTTATTCGTATTATATTATACTACGTACTATAGTAAACAAACGGCCTTGAGTTGCCAGCTGTCTCCAGCAGTGTTCGAAAAATCTTGAACGAGACTGTACCTGGGAACATGTAAATGTAAGCCACCGTGGATGTACAGTGCGTGGAACTACCCTAATGAAGTATTGCACTCACCGGTATCAATTTTCCAGCCTGCATTTGCTCCAGTTCCTCAGCTTCAACAACATTCCCGAGTTTTTCCCTGGTGGAAGTCGAGTCAACACTCACCCTCACATTATACTCCACACTCTGAATAAATTAAATTGTTTACTGTCACAACACAAGAGTCTACACAAACAAAACAGACGACAGTGACGCACACCCGTGCAGCAAGAGCCATGTGTCAAAAATGCCTGGGCAGCCTGACTCACTGACTGTCTGGTCAGAAACTCGAAACTGCTAGTTCCGCCCACTTAACGCAACAAGTCGTTATGACTTTGTCATGTAAATAAACGACTAATTACTTTCGTAAAACCCTTTAGAAAACTGAGATTACGATTTTTTTAACGTTCTCCAAACTAACCTGCATAACTTTTGAGAAAACTATACAGTAAAGTTGTCATTGGTAGTTGTTCAGTCAACGATGCCCTATACCCTATACTAAGAGCTCCGTTGACGCTTTACCTGCCGGACAGAATATAAAATCCACAACCGAACTTCGTACTGGGTTTGATCGTACATAATACCGGAGAATGAAATATTATATTGTGTGGATAAAAACAAGGGGAAGGTGACAATTCACGGAGACGTACAACCTGTACAACATAAATTCGCCAATCATAAAATCATAACCTGATGTTTAAAGACTTTGATTTACTGGACTTATACGCTAAAGTGTTCTCATAAGCCTTGATACCGTAGAAGAGGATGATGTAAAAGAATCAAAGAAAACGACAAACACACACACAGAATGAGAATGGAGCAAACGGAAACTGCAACAACTTTCACGGGGCAAAAAAAAAAAAATATGTCCTCAGCTCTGGGTAGGAAGTGTAGATATGTCGGTAATGAACCTGTGTCCCGTGTCCTACGAGGCATCAGTGTCGCCCTGACCCTCGGTGTGTTATGTGTGCAGGACGGGCGTGGTCATTACCCGGAAGGAGGGGCCTCACTCTATCAACTTCGGGTCCTCCAGCCTCTCCATGGGAGCCTATCACCACCCCAGGTGAGTCCCCCTACCCCATGATGAGTCCAAGTGAGTCCTCTAACACAGTGGACTCCCTACTTCAGGTGAGTCCCATCGCTATGAATCCAATTCATATAATTTTCATCCTTCAGCTTCTACCCCATGTGAGTTACCACTTCCGTTGAATTCTCAAGCACATCCCTATTGACTCAACAAGCCACATCCCTATTGAGTCCCCAGCCACATCACTAACGAGTCTCCAGCCACATCACTGTTGAGTCCCTAACCACATCCCTGTTGAGTCCCCAGTAACATCCCTAGTGACTCCTCAGCCACATCCCTAGTGACTCCCCAGCCACATCCCTAGTGAATCCCTAGCCACATCCTTGGTGAGTCCCCAGCCACATACCTAGTAACTCCCCAGCTATATCCCCAGGAAGTCCCCAGCCACACCCCAAGGAATTTCCAGGTCTTTCAAAGTAAAATATGTAATGCTAGTTTCTTCTTTGCACTGTTATTTTTTTTTACTAAATTAAATTGACTCATAATGGTAGACTATTCTGACCTGTTACGTAAGTATACCATTAGATTATGTTCGACCTCCAGGGTGACATTTCTTCCCATGGCAACACACTCTTACAGCTGACCATTACAATGCTATATGAATACCGTGTCTAATGTATAGTCTTTTATCATAAGTTATTACATTGCCCCGTGTGTGTGTGTGTGTGTGTGTGTGTGTGTGTGTGTGTGTGTGTGTGTGTGTGCTGATAATACTGTATTTACTTAAAATATTATTGTTCAACCTTGTGACACACGGCTCGGGTAAGTAATGTAACTCTTTCATTGTGATATTCAACACAACACACAACACAACACACACACACACACACACACACACACACACACACACACACACACACACACACAAAAGAGAGAGAGAGAGTATCATTACTATGGTCACAGGGAGCCGGGAGTCCATGACAACAACGCCCACGTGATCCCCAGAGAACCTGTCAAGTTCTACAACGCCGCCCATCCCACGCGGCGACCTCTTGCCGGCCCACCCCAGGGGCCTCCAACATACTCACAGAGACCTCACCCCCAGCCGCTGGGACTTCAGCCACTCCTACAGGGAACTCAAGTAACTCAAATACACCAGCAGGATCTTGAGCAACACCTACAGGGTCTTCCACAACGATCACAGGGACCTCCACAACGACCACAGGGACCTCCACAACACCCTGTTGGACCTCAACCTCAAAAACCTCAGTTCCGACCGTCCAAATTGCTGCCGCCCACCACCCGGCACACCACCACCACCCTCACCACCACTACCACCAAGACAGATCCCCCGCCCACGACCCTACGAACAAGGAGGTGGGTGAGAGGCTTGTGTCTTACTGACGCTACCGATCTTATATGTACAGTCAATCAAAAAAACTATCTCTACTTAGGATGATCAATGAATTTCATAATGAACACTGTGACTCCTGTTGTCTCGGTAGGGTTGTCAAAAACCTTCGCCCGTTACGTCATATTATTTCAACACAATTTTGTATAGATAGTTTTTTGAGTAACTGTACCTCAGATAAGTCTACCAAGGCAACACTTAACCAGCTGTGACGATGACATTTTAGACATATAATATATTACATCTCCCAGCGTTCTGCTTTATACTATTTTCTGCATCATTTTCTACTTAATATCTACTTTGTACAGCGAATTAAAAAAGGTGACTCCAAGCATCAGAGACGCGGCCCCTCCCCGAAGTGACAACTCCACCCCGCCGCTAAAACCCTCCGAACCTTTACCTTCCCGCCGAGGCCAGGTGGTCAACGCTCCCAGCCCAGCACTCACAGGTAACTCGCCACTCACAAGTGATTCTTTCCTCACAGCGACCTCTCTTCCCCCACTCGTGGGTACCCGTCACTCATACATACACCACCACTCACAGGTAAGACTACTCAATCTCTCACACACACACTGGTCGAGCTGTACCAAACACCCTTTTTAGTTCATGTTGTTATTCATTTATTAAGAAGAAAAAAAGATGCACTTGATCCTGCTGGAACAGTTACAGAAATAAAGTCGACTACATAAACTACACTGTGGCACGCCAGAATGAAGTGTTGAACTGTTTATAGCAACAGTCAACAGTGCCTCTTTGGATAACATACATTAAATGATTAGTGAAAACAAACAACCCAAAACCTGCCAATAACCATTAGTTCCAATTTAATGAGACGCCCAAGGTGATTTACCAGGTCAAAGGCGACGCTAATATCAAACTGCATGAAACGACACTCCTGCTGTAGGGTTCAGGGCCGTTTGAAGCCTGTGAGTTACCTGTACTTAAAAGAGCCTCGAGTGTATCACAGACTCAGGGTTCATAAAGTACAAAGTGAATCTTAAGTAAGGGACTAGAATTCTTGACACAACTAAGAAAAATACGTTAATTGATTGTCAATATAAATTCCGGTAAACATATTAATTAACAAAATTCGTCAGGTGAAAATTTATCATCAGTAATGTAAACACCTGAGGCGATCTGCTGAATTCATTCTCTATCTCCATGATCGAGAGAAATAGTTTAATATAGTACTTGAATAAACTCAAGTCAGAATAAATCAGATTATCCAACAGCTGATGACTATGAACAATAACAAACAAAAATCAACCTTACGAGTAAATCTAGAAAAAAATTGGTCACTTTCCGCTACAAATTCAGGAAAAATACAAAATTCTGATACGGTTATAGTTTTCAGTTAAAGGTGTTACATCCCCCATACGATCTTCACCACTACTGTAAATAATGGCTTTTAAATTTAATAACATCACAGAAACTCTCCCTTCCTTTATATACACAAAAACACAGCGATCAGTTAGCACATGTATATGACGCATTAATAACAGTTTTGTATCATGTGAGGGAGTCAGTGGCTTAAGAACTCATCCTCACACTAGTTAAGGTAAAATATGAGAGGTGGATTTAATTTCTATGAGAGGAAAGCCGTATTTCATCCTAGCACCTTTCATCTCATTCTGTTTTTGCCTTTCACGTGATTCTGCCTCAAGCCATCAATTTCACAAAATGCTTAATCTTCTTAATGAAGTACAGTGTTCCATGACTCGATATCTTATGATAATACTTCACCTTTAAGCTTAAGCTGGAGGAGGATTGACAAGCTTATATTTATCCTGTGAAGCCAGAGACGAAAAGACATATTAGTGTAAAATATAATAGATAATTCTCGTTGTTAACTTGAAAAATTAATGTCTAGTCACGTTCAATAATATTTTTCAGGAATATATTTCATAAATTCCTTTGTATTAACGCATGGAGAACTTGTATTTGATGTTAATTAAGTCTTGTTTACAGGTAAGGAGTAGATTACACACGTATTGACGTATCTGTTTATATGTTTGTGTGAAGGAAGTTATCTACACAAGACAGATTGGGTAATTTTGGTGTTTCTTAATAGATGAATTAGTCGTCAGTTTATATAGAAACTAAGACAAGTGTTACGGGCTATATAGTAATAGTGGTTGCTTATCATTGTTGGTACTAAGACGGGAGGACTGATTTTTGAGGGTATGTGGCGGCAGTTTGGCTGGGAATTTGGCAGTAATTAAAGGTATAGGTCTAAAATTGATGGTATGGTTAGGTTAGGTTAGGGGTTCATCTTATTATTGCCTTCACACTTGGTCTCCTGGTATGTCGGCAGCTCTTCTTTCTGGAGTGGATCAGACCTCATCCCTCACGCCCTTGGGTACCATCAGCAAGTCAGGGGTACGAGCGGAAATTGGCCACCGTGCCGGAACTGCTGGAGGACACGACCCATCTTCCAACCTCGGCCACCAGCACCGTCCTCCCGTTACTCCACCAAACAGGCATCCATGTAAGCTTGATATTGTTGTGTTCCATGACTCATAATCTTGTATTGCATCATCCAGATAACCTAACCTAAGCTAACACTCTGGTTGCTCATCACTGAAAGCAAATAACACGTTCCCACCACTGAAGATTATGGATTTAGTAAAAGAACTCACCATTAGAGGCAACGTTTGAGTTATTTGCCATTGTAGAAAACGATTTTTTGAGTTACCTTACAATGTAGACCACGTTTGAGCTTACACCAATGGGAACGAAATTTGAGTTAACATTGGACACACATACTGCCCACCACACTTAGGAAAAGGAGGAGGAAGAGGAGGAGGAGGAGGAGGAGGAAGAGGAGGAGGAAGAGGAGGAGGGGGCGGAGGAGGAAGAGGAGGGAAGGCAAGAGCTGTCATCACCATCTGGCTGGCAGCTGGTCTCTTCGGGTACTCGAGGGGGGACGGGGATAGGATGAAGGGAAACATCCTGTGTATTTCCTGGTACCTGAGAAACACCACCGTGATGCTGACTTTAGCTAAGTTACCCTCCGAAAGATAAACATTTTCTCTCATACAAAAATAAAATGCCTTAGAAGTTTAAATTGAGTGAAATCTCCATATAATGGCTTTTCTCTCTGCATATAATCCGTTAGATGAGGGGTTCACATCTAACGATTCCTCGATATAACGGACTTTCATCTCTATACAGTTCATTAGATGGAGGTTTCACATCTAATGGACACTCCATATAACGGATTTTCCTCTCCATATAGTCCGTTAAATAGAGGTTTCACTGTAGTTACAATAAACTTCTGTGTGAAAGTAAAATCATCTTAAAATGGCTTTTCGATATTTAAAAGACTCAAATAAGTTGTTTTATTCTATATGCAAAAAATTACCAGCATTTTTTTTTATAACTTTTCGACATCAGTAATGTATTACATCTATTGACATAATTACGAGAAAAAATACACAAACACTCAAAAGAAAATTAGAGAAACGCAGAGATAGATTTTATACAGAAATTTACTCCACGTTAAGATGCAGATCCAACTGGGGTGAGAGTGAGGAGTGAGGGAAGGGTGGAGAGGAAAAGTCAAGGATAAGATTATAGGATTATTGTCATATGAGAGAGAGAGAGAGAGAGAGAGAGAGAGAGAGAGAGAGCACAAATAACGAAACAAACTTAAAGAAAACGAAAGAATAATAGCCACAATACGAAGAGTTTACACAGGCCAGAAGGAGCTTGGGGGAAGAAGAAGAAGAAAGAGTCTATGAGGGAACGAGAGAGAAAGAGAAGAAAGGTACAAAGGAAGAAAGATGGCGATGAAGAATAGGAACGTAAATGGACAGGGAGGAACAGAAAGGAAAAGAGAAGATGCATAAAACAAGAGCATAGAAACTGGAGGAATGCCCAGGAGTTGAGAGGCTTTAGGAAATATATAAAAGGAACTACAGAATGGAAGGAAAAGCAAAAGGCAGAAATGGAAGAGGGACGGAGAGGGTGGAAGAGGTTTAAAGGTGAAAGAATAGAGAATACAAAACATCAGGTGCAGAGACAGAGAGAAACAGGGGAGATAGGGAGAGCCAGCAGTGATGAGAGAGAGAGAGAGAGAGAGAGAGAGAGAGAGAGAGAGAGAGAGAGAGAGAGAGAGAGAGAGAGAGAGAGAGAGAGAGAGAGAGAGAGACGAGGTAGTGTCATCAGGCAGGGATCAGCGCCTCGGGACAATGACTCTCCATTACGTCTTCCTCGGGACAATGACATGAGTATTGTCACCCAGATGAGGCTAGGGCGTGTAGGAGATGGTAATGGATATAGAGAGGGAGGTAAGGAGTCGTGTTGGGTGAGGGAAGTGAAGGGGTCGTGGTGGGTGAGGGAGGTAAGGGGTCGTGGTGTGGGTGGGGGGTCGTGGTGGGTGAGGGAAGGGGTCGTGGTGGGTGAGGGAGGTGAAGGGGTCGTGGTGGGTGGGGAGGTAAGGGGTCGTGGTGGGTGAGGAAGTGAGGTCGTGGTGGGTGAGGGAGGTAAGAGTCGTGTTGGGTGAGGGAAGGGGTCGTGGTGGGTGAGGAGGTAAGGGGTCGTGGTGGGTGGGGAAGTGAGGGGTCGTGGTGGGTGAGGGAGTGGGGTCGTGGTGGGTGAGAGGGGGTCGTGGTGGGTGAGGGGGCTGGAGTGGGATAGTGATAAGTGAGGGTAGTGGGGGTCGTGTGGGTGTGGGTGAGGGTCGTAGTGGGTGATGGAGGTGGGGGTCGTAGTGGGTGAGGAGTAAGAGGGTCGTAGTGGGTGAGGATAGTAAAGGGGTCATGATGGGTAGTTAAAAGCGTGTCCCAAATGTAAAAAAAAAATAACTGTACTAAATATGAAAATTACAAAGCAAGTGACTAACAGGAGAAGTATGATAAACTTCCTTCGGGCTGAACATGAAGCTGGATATCACTCCCAGTAGTAAACACCAATCCCTCCATAGTTATCACCATTCATCTATAGCTTATAATGTTATTCTCTTCATTGTCTTAGATATAATTCTCATTTTTTTCATTGTGTTGCGTCTCTCTATCACCCAGTATCCTTGTCCCATCACCCTTCGCTTCCTCTCCTCCCCCCTGTATCGTTATAGTTATCGCTAACCATCTCCTCCATCTGCTCACAGTGGCCGGGTACACCAGACCAGACGGTAGCCCATACAACTTCGTGTCGGGAGAAGTTTACACCCCACCGCCGCTTGTCCAGAGAAACAAATTCAGAAATACACAAAAACCTTACATCAGGTTGGTACTCTTATTTGGCCTCGTGATTTATGGAATGTCTAAAACTATATTTCACTCATAAGTTTTTCTCTACGGGTTTTTAATTTTTTCTTTTATTTCGACTTCTACACCATTTATTTTTTATCTTTATGTCACACACACACAAAAAAAAATTACTTTTAATATTTCAGTATTCTGCTGCACGAGTTGTGAATCACCAATCTGCAAGTTGATTTTCAAATAAAAGTTTCATCCAATTTAGATTTCTTCTTTTGTGTGAACGAACGAATGTATATTGACAACTTTAGCAATTCTGATCTTGATGCCGCTCTAATAACTTTTAGAGAAAAACGAAAAACAAAAAGTAAAACAATTACAAAGTCAACGGTAGACGCACAACAACAGCAGAGAGCAACAGAGCGTTTACTGTGCACATGGTTTGAACACACATAACTGTAGCAGTATTATTTTATCTGTGACTTTAAGAGAATTATTCCAGAATTACCTTTGTAGGGTGAAGGTAACATTCCGGCATGAAATACTGTCCATGAACCTTGTTTACAACAAGGCATACACGCACACACACACTCCACCTATCTATCTGTTTTGGTACGCAATAATATGTATCAATCACTATGAACCTCGTCAACGGAAGAGGGTGATTAAAACTCCAGGCGTAATAGTCAAGGGGACCAGACATAGTGTTTGGGGTCTTGGACCATGAAGGACCTGTGCATCAGCTAAGGAGTCCAATGCGAAGCCTGACCAGAGTTGTCTCCCACCTGTGTGACATTCAGAGTATTATTTGGACCAACAATGACATCCGAACAACACCGCCGAGCATTACATATGGTAGTTCTATTCCTAAGACATTTATCACGATGAGGGAGTAACAAAAGCACTAAACTGTATTACATTTGAAAACACATACTAAAAAAAAAAAATAATATTGACAATTAAGACAATATCAGGTTATAGAACGAAGTAAATTTACCAGTCCATATAATCAATAAAATGCATGACCTACACATAAAGATACCGTATATGACATTAAAGACAGATACCCGTAAAGAGACAAAGAGTAATAACAGAAGAACATACGAAACAAACTGGGGGAACACAACGATAAAATAAATCTAAGTTTGAGAAAGTATAGAGGGTGGCTGATGATTCATTATTATTAAGTTTACATCCGGCTAGTTCCATATAACTTTCTATGACTCTTAACTCACCATTATTGCATATTTATTAAAAATGGCCAAATGATCTGAATGGGTTTGATATTCCCCTTCTTCACGGTGTATTCTGACGAGGGGTGAGGAGGGTGAGTTAAGGGGATCAGGTTCAAGTAGTAAGCACGATCCCCTGTAGTGACAAAATCCTGATCTAAACATGACATCGAGCAATGATTGAAGTCAAGGCTGGAGGTAATAAATCTATGGTTAGAGCATGTAAACACAATATAGATCAAAAATTGTATTGTGAATAAAAACGAATATTGTAGAATTTATTTTGCTAAAGTTATTGTTTTAGTAATTCTTTCATTGTTATAATACTTTCGATAGTCCTTCAATATCAAATAGATTATGTTGTAAGTTTATTCAAGTTTGCTCTTGAAGATGTTGAAAGCTTTTACTGTACTGAAATGTAGTTTGGTATAAAAGATGGTACATGGGATTTTACATTTAAGTTTATCCTGTTATGTATGTATGTATGTATATGTACGAATTACATCATTTACATACATATTTGTAGAGCAAGACAGTGCTATAAGAACCTCAGCGGTGTGTTAATATTATCGGTGTTTCAGAATAACAACTCGAAGGCCAGGAGAACACGAGCTGCCTGCCGGACCCTTCCAGGAAAACCACTCAACATATATACCCAAGTCAGTCCACAGACCTGGCTCAGTCCCATCTTGCACCTCTCTCTACCTCACTAGCCCAAAACACCCCCATCCTTTTCTCTCCATCCAGTCCATCTATCCATCCATCTATCCAGTCCATCCATCCATCCATCAATGTACTTGTGTGTTTTTCTGTCTATGCATCCCGGGGGAAATTTCAATCTTCTTTCACACTATAAGGATAATCTCTTTTTTTTTTTTTGCATTGAAACTCATTATTTGAAGGACTTATTGTATGGGAGAAGTTATTACTAGCCTTGGGAATAGTAAATAGCCATCAGAGAGTAGAGTTAGGCATTAATTTAGTCCTTAGTCCAAATACTTGAAATAATCAGCAAGTGAAAAGTTACAATATTTTATCAATCAACGAGACCCGGTATATACGATCCCCCTCCCCCCCTCCTCCCCTGGCGAATTCTCACCCTCTCCCTCCGTCAGGTACGTTAAGGAAAACATCGCTGAGATGGAGTATGAGCCCAAGACCTTTGAAGCACCTCCGCCACCAGCCTATCACAACCCTAACTGGTTCCTGATGCCAGTACAAGGGTGGTTCGTCCTCTCCATCATCCTGGCGGCGCTCCTCATTGTCCTCATCGTGGTGTGCGCCATCATCTACAATAGCTTGAGGAACCAAAGGAAAAAGGTGGGTCATTGAGAGGCGGTGACTCGGAACAATGGGGTTAACGAGCTCTTGGAAATGGGGCTTAATACTCTTGTCTCACTACTACGAAATGATTACACACACACACACACACACACTAAGAAAAGCTTAAACTTAAATCATTTCCGAGATAATTTTGTAAACAACATCAAGGTCTCTGCTTTATATTCCCATTAGCGAGAAAAACCTCGGTCCTCAGCATCACGCAACTTCCCGGTAAAGAGCTTATCATTCCACCCGTCCTGTGTCTCTTATTCTGAGGAATGTATTCGAAAATTCTCAACTCTCCAACAACACACACTCATCTGGGTATATATCGACAAATTCATTATAATCTCATTTAAGACTTTTACGAGTATTATTAAATGATGAAATGTGGTACTTCATTTATTATTCAATGTATAATACAAATAGTTTTCTATGCAGTTTATATATAATGCCCTTCACCTACATATTTCGGATATATTGCTGAGATATTATTAATAAAATCCGTAACGTGATATATTTTTAGTGTCTGTTGGTATGTGTGGAAGATATGGATACATTACAGAAATATGAGTGTTTTGCCATGGCATTTGTAGGTATCTAACTCCCCACACCACCTCTTAATTTCCCACACCTCCACTTCACTCCCCACACCTCCACTTACACTCTACCCAACACTTAAACTGACCCCTCATAACTTCACTTAAACTGTAAAATAACTGCTGTCTATATGTAAACAAAGATTATTATAATTATAAGTGCACTAATGATGTATCTGGACCTGTAAATATTGACTTGTGGTCCACGATCTTTGTGCCTTAACAAGTGACCAGTGTGTGTGCCTCGATCTGTATAACCCATGATGTGTTTTCTTCCAGTTGAGGAAGCTGTTGTCTCCAGGTCTGGTGCTGCCGGGGTGTGTTGATCCAGTGAACCACGAGGTATGTCAGTGTCGCTCCCTGGCGCCGCTGGTCCGTTCCCATACCCTTATGTCCCGGGCCTCGGCTATGTCCAGGGCTTCCCACAGGTCCGTCCACCCGTCCTCCAGGCACCAGGGCGCCATCAAGTATGACGACGCCTCGCAGGTGAGTCCTCATGAGGAATTTGTGCCTCACCACTCACTTGTCTCCACGAGCACAACGTTGGTCTACCTACCTCACACAACTAGCTTGTATCCTTGTTGTACCTCTATACTTACACTGGTTAATTATATGTCTGTTTGTTTCTTATTTGCACCCAAGGCTCGACTCTCTCACTCCCTCTCACCACACATACACCCTAGGCCCGGTCCTCTCACCCCCGTCTATAAATGGCTCATTCATCTCAGGAAGTAAATGTGTGATATTTGTAGTTGCAGAGGCTTATTCAGGACACATTTATGTGGAAAATTGCAATAAACGGGACAAATGATCTTAAAAATGAGCAGACGTTAAACAAGAAACTAAACAATTTGTAACATCCAAGCCACCCTATCTCCCCTGCCGCTTAAAACTCCTGTGACCAACTCCTCACGGTGCCCAGGAATCTGTGAGCAAACCTGGAGTCCCCTTTGTATAACACTGGCCAGGCTGTGATCCAATCAACAGTAAATGACCCTCTACTGGCAGCCTGCTGTATAGTAAGGGGACAACACAATGGTCTGTAGAGTGTCCCGCCCACTAACACATCTTCCGGAATAACAACCAGACAACACATCTTTGTCATCCCAGCCAACATCTGGGTGACTCAGGACTAACCAAGGGAAATTAATTCAAAATTTTCATCCAAGGAGAAAATGTTGGTGTTGTAGTGAGCAGCGAAACTTTCTTGAATACAAATGTGACACACACACACACACACACACAAAACCCCACCTTTTGAAACCTCTGAACGAGACCTTCCAGTAAGCACAGTACCCAGGCATACATACTAGTATATTACCTCTCGGTGACCTCTAGTTCTGACCTCCCACAGCCGAAGACGACAGGCTTCCGGTCACTACCCACCCCTGCCCTGCCTGATGGTGACAGAGACAACAACAACCTCGACTCCATCACCACCACACACACTCAGGTACGTCACTCAGCTACCTATTGTGTTTACTTTTCCCAGGATGAACAAACATATAGATTATGATCGACAACTGAAAAATACAAGAACAAAGACTCTTATTTACGTATATATAAACTGTATTAATTGGATTGGACGGGAACTGGAATAATAATTTCAGTTTATTCAGCTTGTGGATAAGTTAACAGGGGTCTTTGTTCCTCTTGGGATAAACATCACACTTGACAAAGCTGGTTGTAACTAACTTCAGTTTGTGTTGTTTCCACACACCGACAGACAAGAGATAGTTGTACACCGACAGACAAGAGATAGTTGTATCGCTTTATGCTATGTAAGCTTTGACAGATATTGTAAACACACACACACACACACACACACACACACTGAACAAAAGTTACTTAATACTTGTGAGGCCGCCGAGTGTTTCCAGTGTTAACATTATTTTCTCCCTCAAAACAGCTGGAAGTGGAGGACTCCCCACCTCCACTAGTACCAAAGAAGACCTCCCTGACAGGCAGCACCACAGGCGTAGGTACAGGTGCTCAGGATAGCAGAGGAGGAGGCCGTGAGAGTAGACAAGGTAACCCAGAGAATAGGAGTGGCCGCGAGAGCAGACTGGGAGGTCACGAGGCCAGGAGCTCAGTCAACGAGGGCAGGGGTTCAGGTTATGACGGCAGATATAGTTATGGGTACGGAGGGCGGAGCGGAGGACACGAGGACAGTTACGGGAAAGGTAATGGAAGTCAATACCAGCGACCAGCCGGCTCTCACAACTCCGACGTACAGCTCACTACCATCTACCCCCCACCGCGTCGCTTTGAGCTCTAGCACGGGGCCAGCTACGTCTAGCCTGTGGATGGTGAAGGGCAGGAGGGCACACGGTAAATGCCAGGTCCCTCACGTTTTAAATTATTCATGTATGAATACTCATGCTGTTATTATTTACAAAATGTTAAAACTGCACTTCTGTATTCATATGTATAAATACTATCGCATATTGTAAACACCATATTTGGGAAATTGGCAACAAAAATTTACTTTACGTCGTCATATATTAGATGATGGGCATTAAACCTACTTCATTATAACTCTCTTTGATCATATCTTTAAATTGCATTATATATGAACTTCATTAAGCATCAACAGTCTACAATATTATCATCGCCCTCGGGGTCCATCACGCGAGGACCCTGGCATCATCCACAGGCTAGTCACGTAGCCCCATACCTGACACTGTCCGGCTGACAGTTTCACCAACAGGTGCTTCCCGTCCTGGGCCTTACTGCGTGGTCAGTCGGACGCATCTCTTGCCAAGCTAACGAGCGGGAACTCACCGCGCGCGCGAGAGAGAGAGAGAGAGAGAGAGAGATTGGGTCAGCAGAGTAGTCAACACAACCTCCTTGACTGCAGGGTCTATCTCACCGTCACATTACGTTGGTAAGGTTGTAGACCATATGGTTACTGTACTGATCTGTTAAATATTTGATAACAGATTTTCCATATCATTATCAATAATATTATGTTACCACAATACAAGGAGATACAGTTCATGTTTGGATATAACAATTCTTATGTATTGATAATAATTTTATGTAATAAATAAAAAAGCAAGAGAGTTTCTTTCTGAACACATTATATCATCAATGAACTTGGTAAGTTAACAAATGATTTCTTGACCTGGGCTGTCTGTATGTTTTGGTAAGAATATTTACATTCAGACAAAACTTCGTTCCTCACGGCTCAGCCTCAGAAGACCTAAGTCATATTTCTGCCGAGACTCTGGCGGGGAGGCAGTAAGACAGATGAATATTTGAACAATTACCTAAAAATTTTATCCTCACAAATAAGATCATAAAGGATAACGTAAAACACTTCCAGGTTGCATAATATTGCCAGCAGGTGTCTACATTCCCTGGCCTTTGTGTGAGGAGATTAACACTACACGCAATTATTCTCTTTTACCACCAGACATCTAAAACAATTACCTAATGTACCGTAACACATCTGTCGCCACACGCAGCTCTGGCGCAGGTCCACCGGGTAAGACGTAAGCTCAAGGTGACCTCTGTATATAATTCCATGGGAGCCGTCCTCAAAAATTTAGTTCCATTGTCAGCTTCAGGTTACACGGCGACATTCATGAAATGGATGCGTCCAGAGAGACACATGGCAGGAGTGTATATCATACAGGAGGAGAGGGGGGGGAAGTTTGAGCATTATTTTAAGACTTTGTAGCTCCGGTGTCCTTGTGGGAGGTGTAAACTTGGAGGAACATCACAGCTAAGTGTGTCGGGGATTCCTCATTCTGCCACAGGAGATGAAACACTTGGGTCATGACGTTCTCGTATTTTACATCACCTGTATTTAAGGACCAACAATTATATATAAAATCTCCACACTTCGAAGTACTATATAAAGGTGTAACATCTATTCGTTGTTATCTCCACTATTAACATGTTATAAGTTTGGCTATAAAGAGTTTTACAGTTACTTATACTGAAAGACTACTGCATACATATTAAACGTAAACCACCACCTGGATAAACCGCAGCTCAAAGGAGGATGAGAGGAGGAAGCTGTTGAATGATGCAACAAAGATGCTTGTCACCCCAAGTCAGTCACACGTCGTCCCTCCCCTCCCTCTCCCCCTCTCCCCCCTGTTCCGGACTCAACGTCATCTTTCAAACCTTAGGGGAGTGGAATGATCTTTTTGACGCCATATATGTAACATTTATTATTTTAAGGAATTCAGGAAATATTTGACGTTATTTTCTGTTATTGTTAGTTTCTAGTTTATCTGTGTGTTAGTCTGTTCCGTACTAAGTTTCCAACATACAGAGCTTCCGAATGAAATTATTTGGCATCGTTTCCGTAAGATTAGTACTGATAACATTATTTTTCCTGGTCGAGGCTGGTTACAGGAGAAGGCATAGGAGAGGGACTGGAAGGGATGGGAGAGGGAGAGGGGGATGGGAGGGGGAAGGGAGGGGGAAGGGAGGGGGAAGGAGTGGTTTAAGGGAGGAAGATTCGCAATGGAAATAGGGAAGTGGAACAGGAAGGAGAGAAGAGAATTCATAGTTAATGTTTTCACGAGAATTGAATGAGTGACATGCTCAAGGGGGAGGGGAGGGAGGCTGTCAGGTATACCCTAATATAGGCATCAAGTATGACCATCGAGTATTACCACGCAGTATAATCAATGAGTATAATTAGTAAGTATAATCCTCGAGCTTATCAGTCGGGTATATTTAAGTATAATCAGCAAGTGTGTCTATTAAATATTACCATTGAATGTAACTATTAAAGTCCATAGAATCTTATAAGACAATTATGACACACACACACACACACACACACACACACACTAAGACCGCCTCCCCCACACGCACTAACCCCCCCCCCACACACCCCCCCCTCCCACACCATGTGTCCTGCATATGAGAAAAAAAAAATTAACTTGGCTCCTCTTAGCTGGGTAAGGTTAGCGACCCTCTAGAATACCTGGGCGTAATTGAGAAACTCCGGAGAGGTGAACAGCTGGAAGTTCGTAATCACACCCAAGAGGTCATGGCAATGCGACCTTGTACGAGGTTGCTTCAGCGCTTCTAACATGCGACGTTGTAGATATCCTAAGGCGTTGTAGATATCCCTGGTGTTATAATTCAGGTGATATTCAAGAATTATCTAAGAAATAATTATCTCAGTAAGTTAAGTAGGTAGTAGGTGGTAGTGGGTAGTAGATAGTAGGCAGTTAGGCAGTAGGTAGCTATCAAACAGGGAGGTACTACCGTCTGGGAAGATATTGAAAGTATAACGTGTTGTCTAATGGTAGATACTGCTGCCATATGTGACCAAGTCCTTAGTTGCTGATCTGACTAAAATACAATTTAAAAATACCATTAAAATAATCAGACTACCAAGAGCTCTCCATATCATCATCCACGTCTCTATATCCTCCTGATCGTGGTCCTGAAGGGTGGATAATATTCTTGAACGAATCTGCAAATGAAGCCGGTGCCCCTAGAGTGAAACCTCGAGAAATGGTGACACCTAAAACTCATCCCTGGGAGTGCTCCTTGGAGATGAAGCTTTAGAGGCTTAGCAGGGTCTTGCAGGGTCTTTCTAGAGGTGACTACTGGGGTGTGACTCTGAGGGTTGAGACTCGGAAGTAATTTCTGGTAGTGAGTTTTTGGAATCTTATTTGGATGTTACTCACCTGTCATGGACCAGGTGTGTTTTTTTGTAAATTTCACCAAACCTTAGCCAACACTGCCACCACCAGACCTCAGCCAAAAGTACCACCATCAGACCTCAGCCAAAAGTGCCACCATCAGACCTCAGCCAAAAGTGCCACCATCAGACCTCAGCCAACACTGCCACCATCAGACCTCAGCCAAAAGTGCCACCATCAGACCTCAGCCAACAGTGCCACCATCAGACCTCAGCCAACAGTGCCACCATCAGACCTCAGCCAACAGTGCCACCACCACACCTCCACCAACATTAACACCACCACACCTCCTCTAGCTGCCACTTCCCCCTCCAACACGTTTGCCAATACATCAATACTATCACTGTCAAGACTGCCAACACCATCTCTTAACTCGTCTACCTCACAAGCTAATCTGCCACTGGCCTTATGGGGGCTGCTGCTGGCCGTGTGAGAGAGAGAGAGAGAGAGAGAGAGATAACGATGAATATGTGATAAACAGAGAAAACGGAAGGAGGATGACGATAGTGCTTGATAAGTAAATGGAAGTAAAACAAATAAAAAATCTAAAATAAACGAAATAATGTATGAAAGAGAATTAATGAATGAAGATCGAAAACTTTCTCTTTCAAGTTTACTAATACTGTTTAAAGTTAAATTTATTCCTACCTGTAATTTGCTAGTGTGGGGACATATCTGGCATTCATTATCAACTTCTCATTTTAGTCAATTTGGGAAACAAAATTACATTTGTTATTAATTGTATTCAATCTTGTATTCATGTGTGTTTGTCTGTCTGTGACCTCGACACGCGGAACACACAGCCAGGAAGCCAAGCATGACAAAGATCGAGTAATTAGCAGCCGAGATGTAGACAGTGGCTTTGAGGACGACCTGGAGAGACACAGTATCATGTACACCACTGAGGATGAGATATACAGTACACCAGCCTGGACACCTTCCTCTTGACTCTTCTTCACTGCCACCAAAACGCTGCCACCGTCACCACCACCACCGTCACCACCACCACCACCGTCACCACCACCATCGTCACCACCACCATCGTCACCACCACCACCACTACCTCACCTGTTCACCACACAAGCTAAGCTGCGACAACTTGTTATGAATCTGACGGTAAAGTTGAAATAAGACACAACAGATGAGAGGAAAGAAGGAAGAAGAGAATAGCTTGATAAAGAGAAAGATATTGATGAAGGGACGATAGAAATGGGACTGGGAAGATTCGTCAATAAGTCAATGAATACTTAAGCTCAGGAGGATGTAAGTTAAATAGACACAACTCATGTATTAAGAAGCTATTGGTGAAGTAAAAACATAGTCATAGGTGGGGTTAGGTTAGGTTAGGTTAGGTTAGGTTAGGTTAGGTTAGGTTAGGTTTGGTTTGTCTAAGTGAGTAAAAAAAAATGAAGTAGGATGAACTGCGTCCACTCTAGCAGATGTTTAATACTAATCACTTGTTCTGTGTTTCTTTAGCTTATAATCCTGGGAGACACACGAACGCTAGTATTACAACATTTATTTCCAAATGTTTACCTACGTGCTCAAACATCTATAAATTCACACATACACACACACACACACACACACACACACTCTAGGGGGGGGAGGGGGGTGTAATTTACCACGACCCGACCCAACCCATCATCCGACGTAGTGTGGAGCGTTCCGGACCTTCAAGAGTACACTAACTGGGACTTGTATTAGAGGAAGGAATTCAACATGAGAACTGTAGTATGGTTAAACCTTGGGTGAATGTTCTATAGGGCTGGTTTTAAGTTACTAAGGTTCGGTGGGGAGTAGTGGTATGGTCTGAGAGTTAGTGAGATTGACGATGGTGAATTTTGGCTGCTATTTGAGGTGTAGTGAGATTGACGATGGTGAATTCTGGCTGCTATTTGAGGTGTAGTGAGATTGACGATGGTGAATTTTGGCTGCTATTTGAAGTGTAGTGAGATTGACGATGGTGAATTTTGGCTGCTATTTGAAGTGTAGTGAGATTGACGATGGTGAATTCTGGCTGCTATTTGAGGTGTAGTGAGATTGACGATGGTGAATTCTGGCTGCTATTTGAGGTGTAGTGAGATTGACGATGGTGAATTCTGGCTGCTATTTGAAGTGTAGTGAGATTGACGATGGTGAATTCTGGCTGCTATTTGAGGTGTAGAGAGATTGACGATGGTGAATTCTGGCTGCTATTTGAGGTGTATCTTATATATTAATATGAAGTAAGGAAAGTTTAAGTTAGCAATGATCTCTATATGGGAAATGTGTATGAAACTATCGGGTTGTGTTACTGTCTGCATAATATATATCCAGGTCGTAAACTGAATGAGGAGGAAGGCTTAAATGAGGGGCTCGACGTCAACGTGTGTAATTG